AGAGCTCGACGTTAGGCGAAATTATCGCTAGCCGAATTAATTTTCTCCATAAGAAATAATGAAAATCAAATTAATCCATTCCTGACACCCCAAAGTATGAAAAAAAAAAAATTACCACATGAAATATTAATTTTAATACACACAAACTGAAGAAGACATGCACAATTACATAACACTTACCTTTATTGAAGATCTGGTGATGATTGATGGGATGGGAGGAGGGGAGAGTGTGAATGGTGTTAATGTTTAGAAGGAGAATCTCCTTCCATTAGGAATTGAGGTGGCAAGTCCTTTTCCGGGGTTACTTCCCTTCTTCTTTTAATGCCACTAGGACCAGCTTGAGTCACTGGATCTCTGTCGCACAACATATCTGTCCATAGAGGCCTGTACCTCCCGTTCCTTTATGACATTCCTGAAGTGTTTCACAACATTGTCAGTGTAATAGTCACCAGCACGGCTTGCAATAGCTGTGTGAGGGTGATTTTCATCAAAAAAGGTTTGCACTTTAAGCCATATTGCACACATTTCCTTAATCTTTGAAGTAGGTAACTTCCTCAATTTCTCTATCCCCTCCTCCGGAGCAGTTTCCTCAGGTCTGGCCTCTTGCTGTTGAAGATGATCTAGCAGCTCATCAGTTGTTAGTTTGTCATTGTCCTCCTCCACCAACTCTTCCACATCCTCCCCACTAACCTCCAACTCCAAGGACTTCCCCAATGCAACAATGGATTCCTCAACCGGCATAGGATTCCCAGGGTTAGCCTCAAACCCTTCAAAATCCCTTTTGTCTACACATTCTGGCCACAGTTTCTTCCAAGCAGAGTTCAAGGTCCTCTTAGTCACTTCCTCCCAAGCCTTACCTATAATGTTTACACAATTGAGGATGCTAAAGTGATCTCTCCAAGAATCTCTTAGAGTCAATTGAGTTTCTGAGGTCACTACAAAGCACTTTTCAAACTTACCTTTGGGGAAAATGTTTTTTGAAGTTTGCAATGACCTGCTGGTCCATGGGCTGCAGGAGAGGAGTGGTATTAGGAGGCAAAAACTTGACCTTAATGAAGCTCATTTCCACAGAAAGTCGCTCTGCCATGTCTGAAGGATGACCAGGAGCGTTGTCTAATACCAGGAGGCACTTAAGTTCCAATTTATTTTCCAGGAGGTAATTTTTCAGTGGGGGCAAATGCATGGTGTAACCAGTCATAGAAAATGTCCCTAGTAACCCATGCCTTACTGTTTGCCCTCCACAGCACACACAAATTAGCCTTGAGGACATTGTTTTTCCTGAACACACTGGGAATTTCAGAGTGATACACCAATAAAGCTTCACTGTGCAATCACCACTAGCATTAGCACACATCAACAGAGTAAGCCTGTCTTTCATAGGCTTATGTCCTGGGAGTGCCTTTTCTTCATGAGTAATACAGGTCTGCTTGGCAGTTTCTTCCAAAACAGGCCTGTTTCGTCACAATTAAACACTTTTTCAGGTTTCAGTCCTTTACTGTCTATGTACTCCTTGAATTCCTTCACATATTTTTCAGCCGCTTTGTGGTCCAAACTGGCAGCCTCACCATGCCTTATCACACTATGTATGCCACTACGATTCTCACATCTCTCAAACCAACCTTTGCTGGCCTTAAATTCACTCACATCACCACTAGTTGCAGGCATTTTTCTAATTAAATCCTCATGCAACTTCCTAGCCTTTTCACATATGATCGCTTGAGAGATGCTATCTCCTGCTATCTGTTTTTCATTTATCCACACCAATAACAGTCTCTCAACATTTTCTATCACATGCGATCTCTGTTTCGAAAACAAAGTTGCACCTTTGGCAAGAACAGCTTCCTTGATTGCCGTTTTCTTGGCCACAATAGTAGCGATGGTTGATTAGGGTTTTGTGTACAACCTGGCCAGCTCGGAGACACGCACTCCACTTTCATACTTAGCAATGATCTCTTTCTTCATATCCATAGTAATTCCCACCCTTTTTTCTGTAGGGTTGGCACTAGAAGCTTTCTTTGGGCCCATGGTGACTTATTTTGCAGGTGCAATCACTAAAAAGGCTGTGATAACATGAAATGTTCCGATTGTATGCTTGGAAGCGACCACGGTGGCTGGCTTGTAAACACTGGCACCCACGGAACAAGTGAGGCGGGCTCAGGCCGCACGTGGACGCGTCTCGAACGAATTGCGTTGAGCGAGCTTTTTAGCGCTAGCCGAGGCAAAATTTTGCGTTAAAATGTATCACTAGGCGGATTTAACGTTATGCGATGTGTTCGTTGGCTGGAATAGGAAGATCAAGTGAATCATCAATTTTCCTGTGCAAGAGATCAATGGCTTGTGTGGTAGGTACTTTGGTAAATAGGGAAGTTACGTCAAGGCTGGAAAGTTTCTTGTTCCTGATGTTGATGTTGTGAATGCGATTGACAAGATCACCCGAGTGTTTGAGATGTGCTGGACTGATAGTGCCCAAGAGTTTAGAGGTGTTTTGCGAGAATTCCTGAGAGTTGGTGGGGACCACTGCCTATTCCCGAAGATATGGCCCTCAATGGGATACCAGGTTTGTGAGTTTTTGGCAGGCCATACATTCTGGCAGGTCTGGGGTTGCTGGGTATGGTGTGCATTAGCTTCTTTCCTTGTTCTGAGTCCCTCAGAATGTGGCGAGTCCTTTGAAGAAATGTTTTAGTAAGGTTGTCCACTTGGTTAGTTGTGAGAGGTTTGTAGGTATCTGGGTCATTATCTCCCTTCCAAGCTACCCAAGATTTTAAGACTATAATCCCACTTGGCAAATCATCAGATGCAGCATTCTCCACCTGACCCAGCATTCTGAACCTGACTATAAATACTTGCGTACCTTCCACTCCAGGTAGATCTGTTTGTGACTTGAAAAAGCCCACTGTGTGGGTGAAACATTGTCAATAAAGGATCACATTATACTGCATATGTGTTTATATTTCCATTGTGTCAGTATTTTATACCATTTATTTCCATGAATGGGAGGGGCTGGGTTTGATTTGTGTCCTTGGGTACAGGAGTAAATTCTTGGGTAGCTTTGGGTAGAGGTCATTTTGTTAAGGACCTGCCTTGTATGGGCCAGTAGGCCTTCTGCAGTGTTCCTCCATTCTTATGTTCTTAAGTGACTATACAGTACAGTAAGCATTATGCACAGTAAGCAACATGCACAGTACAGCAATACCTTGCATAGTACAGTTTTGAACAGTACAGGTTTCGATATAACACAGCTTATAAATGTAATAGATTAAATATAAATTTTATTTAACAGCATTATGCACCAATATTGGACTACGTACCACACTAGCCCGATGCAAACATCAGTATTGCTCCATACTCTAAGTAGTTAAGTTGTGTAGTCTCAAAGTACGAATGTATACACAATTTTTTTCTTTATTACATAACACAAACATGTACGGAAAGAATGCAATGGTTAACACAGGAAAAACTAGAAATTATAAAACATGAATATGGTGCATGTTAAAATAGTACGTGACAAGAAAATGAATGAAGCATTGGTACGTGCACACATAAGGAATAAAGATAAAATAAAATGGCATGGAATGGCTACAGCATCTTATGTCAAAAGTGATGGTTAAAAATCAGTTCAGAAATGGGTATGTGGAATGTCTTAATGTTATGTATTAAAGACTGCAGCCAGAAATGATTCCATTAAGGCAGATGAAGATTCAAGCTAAAGCAACAAATCTATTCAATGTTAAAAGAAAATGGCATTGAAGGGGAAAGTTTTTTGGCAAGTCGTGGCTGGTTTTACAACTTTAAGAAGTGTATGTACTATAATATTTAAATTACTGGTCAAAGTGCCAGTGCAGATAATGAGGCATTGGCAAGATTTCCAAATTATCTAAAAAAACTGATTGAAGAAAATGGCTACAGAGACTAGCAAATTTTTAACTTATATGAAACAAGTTTGTTTTGGAAGATGCCATCATACACTTATTTGGCTGAAAAAGAATCGTCACAACCAGGATATAAAGTCTCCAAAGACCGTTTAATGCTTTTATTAGGTGGGAGTGCATCTGGTGACTTCAAATTAAAGCCTATATTAATCTACAGAGTGGAAAAGCCAAGGGCTCTTAAGAAAAAATATCTTCCTGTTATATGGTGGTCGAGAAAGAAAGCTTAGGTAACGAGAATTGTTTGAAGACTGGTTTGCAAATTATTTTTGCCCTGCAGTTGAACAAGATAATAGCATGGATTTTTAATGGTTACTGGACAATGCACCAGGTCATCCTACTTCTCTTTCTGACTTGAATGAAAATGTCTAATTTTCCTGCCACCGAACATGACATTATTGCAGCCAATGGATCAGGGTGTCATTAAGACGTACATTTATGCAAGCCATAAAAGTAACAAAGGGAGAAAAGACCACAAGTTTAAACTAATTTTGGAAAGGTTACAACATCCAAAATGCAACTGAAAACATAAGTGACTCGTGGCTTGAAGTGGCTGCAAGTAACATGAGAGCTGTTTGGAAACTTCTTGTACCACACTGTTCCAATGATTCTGCAAGTTCTGAATCCCATATTCAAATTGTGAAAACATTGTGAAGCTTGGAAAACACCATCTCAGCTCAGAAGCTTTGGAACGTAAAAATACATGTCAATGCACTGACTCGCATTCTGATGATCTTGATGCAACACTTGTGGAAATAGATCAGCAACATTTATACAAAGAAACAGGAAAATCAAGAAAATGAAATTCAAATGGAATTCACATCGGATGAACTATCAACATTAACTGCAAAAATAGAAGATTCTTGTGAGTAATTAATGCAGATCCTCACACTGAATGATGCATTAGAGTTAGGCAGGCATTACAAAATGATATTTGATGCTATAAAGATATGAATAAAAAGAAAAGAGTGCAAACTATGTTGTTCAACTACTTTTAAAAATAAAAATGTACAGTACAATACACAACATTAACGGTACAATACACATGAACAATATAGTACACAAAGATCTTACCTCTTCTTCAATACTGGCAATTTTTTCATGGTAGTCACCCGTTTTATAGTAAAATTCTACAATTGCTCGAAAAAACCTTTTCGTTTTCTTTGGGTCTAAGAGAAAGAAAAAGAAAATGAAACATACATTAAAATATTCAAGTTATGGAAGTTAAGTAGAGTAAACCCTCCATATAATGGACTAATTGGGAGGTGGCTAGAGAAGAGATTAGGTAATGATTGTAACAATAATAAACTATAAAGTAACTAACAGAATTTGCCCATTGTTTCCAAATCAAGTGTCCCAGCAAATTATGTTCAGTCTATTGCATGGAGGATTTATTGAATAGCACAGAGCAGCATTTTTAAATGATGGGTTTGAGCCCTATAAACACCAACCTAAGATGAGCTAATATACACGACAGAAATTCGGACAGGATAAAGCAGAGCTCCGAAGGAGTACTGTAACATGCATGTCATTCATGCTTCACCTGGAGCAGTGGGCTTCAACAGTTGCCTAGAAACAGACTTTAATCTCCAAATTCGCAAGTTAGGTTCTTAGTGGTCCCTGCAAAATCATAATTCATGAATACCACCAAATTTAGTCAATGTAAGAAATTTGGTTTCAGGTTAGGGAACATTTTGTTTCACAAGTCATCTCTTTCAGTGGCTGCCACGTAGATCTACATTATCTATGTATGTAAATCTATGCATAAATTCAAGCATCTTTAAATTTAGCACAAGAGGCCTGGTAGGCCTACTTATAAGAAAATAGGACAGGTCTGTGCAATCAATGTGCACAGTATACAAAAAATCAGCCCCCCCCCAGTGCACTGTGGATACCTTACCTCTGGGAAAAACCAGCATATTTAGCACAGTGAAACCCCGAGTTTCGAATGTGTTGACTATCAAACGATTCGCGTTTCTACCACTTTTTTCAAACCAGTCCCGACTATCGAACACACCCCATCTTTTGAACCGCTGGGTACTGGACCTGTCTGCCTGCCCACTCTGTCCATGCCCCCGCGCAAACATCGTGAGCCAGTCTGGCTTTGTTGATGCTTGAGTGAACACTAACCTGCTTGCTCATTTAAACATTTCACAATTAATTCACTGTTTGGAGCTAGTTTATTAAGTGCGACTGTGAAATAAGCTACCATGGTGGTGATGGTGAATGATGGTGGATGGCACCTTCAGAGATTAAGGAGATTTGTGCAATGTGGAATAGGGTGCTGGCATTTGCTGAAAAATATCACCCTGAGCAAGCTGAAACAAGCCATCTTTGCAACAAGTTCAGTGACAGAACCATGTCCCATTTTAGGGAAATCTTAACCCTTTGACAGTTTTGGTCGTATATACATGTCTTACAAGCCAATGTACAGTGGACCCCCGACATTCGATATTCATCCATTCCTGAGAGCCATTGAATGTCGAAAATATCGAGTCAAATTAATTTTCCCCATAAGAAATAATGGAAATCAAATTAATCCATGCAAGACACCCAAAAGTATGAAAAAAAAAGTTACCACATGAAATATTAATGCAATAGAATAATTACAATAACAACAATAACAATAGATTAATAACAATAGAATAATTGACACTTACCTTTAATGAAGATCTGGTGATGATTGATGGGATGGGAAGAGGGGAGTGTGTGGATGGTGTTAGTGTTTAGAAGGGGAATCCCCTTCCATTACGACTTGAACTGGCAGCCTCACCATGCCTTACCACACTGTGTATGCCACTACAATTCTTAAATCTTTCAAACCAACCTTTGCTGGCCTTAAATTCACTCACATCACCACTAGTTGCAGGCAATTTCTTTGCCAAATCATGCACTCCGACACACTCACTCCACTTTCGTACTCTGCAATTATCTCTTTCTTCATTTCAATAGTCATTAGTACCTTTTTTCTCGAAGGGTTGGCACTAGAAGCTTTCTTGGGGCCCATGCTTAATTGTTTTGCAGAAACAAGCACCAAAAACAGTGATAATATGGATAATATGGAATGTACCAAATGTATCCTTAGATGCGCACACACTGGCTGGGTTGTAAACACTGGGACACACGGTGCAGTTCAGGCCACACGTGGACACGTCTCGTGCGAATCGTATCCAACGTCGTGTTTTCCATCGAATGTCGAGGCGAAATTTTTGCGTTAAAATGCATTGAATGTCGGATTTATCAAATGTCAATGCCATCGAATGTCGGGGGTCCACTGTATTTGATATACATATACAGTGGAACTTCAAATATCGAACTTTCTTCGTTCCAGATGGCTGTTCGAGTGCCGTTACCGAACAAATTTATTCCCATAAGGAATAATGTAAATTAGATTAGTTCATTTCAGACCCTCAAAAATACACTTATAAAAGCACTTACAAAAACACACTTACATAACTGGTCGAGTTGGGAGCAGTTCGATATTTGAAGTTCCACTGTACTCAAATTCTAGCGGCTTCAAATCAAGCAGGAGAAAGTTGGTGGGCCCACATGTGAGAGAATGGGTCTGTGTGCACAGTATAAAAAAAAAAATCCTGCAGCACGCAGTGCGTAACAAGAAAAAAAAGCTCCAACCGAGTTTTTGGATTTAAACACAGATTTTGAGGTGTATTTTCGTATAGTATTTATGGTTTTATTCTTGGTCTCATTTGATAGAATGGAAAACTTACTATAGAAATAGAAATGATTTTGATTGGTTTTACTATGAAAAGGATCTTGAAATGGAGCTGAAAGTGGCAGAAATGTTCAATTTTTGCCAATGTTCAAGAGTAAACAAATGACATCATTGTCCAATAAATGTCCAACTAGCCATTCTAATATGCAGTCACAAATGGGTTGACATTATTTATACAATTATTACAATATTGCAGTAGTCTGCATAACAGTAAATCTTCTATTTTTTGTGAATAAAAATTCAAAATAGAAAGCAAGAGGATTATAACAGGGGCCTGGAGATGCGACTGATGAACAGAAAATTTATTTTAGTGCCAGGAATGTCTGTATTGTTCATTCTGGACCCTATTTTGAAACTGACATTTTCTAATTTGCATGAAATTGGCCAAATTGCCAATTTCTGACCACTTTATTGGGTAGCTGAAATCGGTAAATGGGCGGTTTCTTGCACTCGATCGACAGAACAAATGAAGTTCTAAAGAAATAGCTACAAGTTTGGCGGACTGGAACAATGGAATTGATCGAAAATAAGGCTCAAATTGGGCGAAATAGCCAATGCGTAAATGTCGCTGAGGTTGCTAACTTCGCGAGAGCATAAGTCCGCAAGTTTTCCATAAAATTTCATACTTTCTGTGTCATTACCATCGGGAAAAGCTTCTCTATCATTTCATAAGAAAAAATAATTTTTTTTTCAAATATTTTGCAACACCAGGAGACCTCAGGATTTGGGGTTGTCACAGTCAAAGGGTTAAAGAAGGGAAGTAACCCCAGATAAAAACTTGTTACCTAAAGTCTTAATGGGAGGGGATTCTCCTTCCAAACAATAGCAACTTCCTCCCTCCCCCCTCCACCTGTCATCCATACACTAACAAGTCGTCAGAAGAAATGGGCTCAGAAGAGTTGTTCTGTCTGCACATACAAACAATGCCCAAAAAACACACACTTGTTTTGTGTGCGAGGATTTTAAAACACCACTGTGCATGACACCATATTTCAAAGAGTTCCGCAAACTGCAGCAGGTCTAGGAACATGTCCAGTGATTATATTTTTTGAATATATATGATAGAACATTAGTAATAAAGAACATTTTTACCTGCCTGGTTGTGTAAACAAGTTATATAAACAATATTACGACAATATTACCGAGGCATTACGTTGAATAAAAGGAGGTAAAGCAGCTGGAACTGACAGGATAATGACAAATGTTAAAAGCAGAAGAGATAGTGCTGGAGTGGCTGGTTTTTTATTATTATTATTAACACACCGGCCGATTCCCACCAAGGCAGGGTGGCCTGAAAAAGAAAACCTTTCACCATCATTCACTCCATTACTGTCTTGCCAGAAGGGTGATTTACACTACAGTTTTTAAACTGCAACATTAACACCCCTCCTTCAGAGTGAAGGCACTGTACTTCCCATCTCCAGGACTCAAGTCCGGCCTGCCAGTTTCCCTGAATCCCTTCATAAATATTACTTTGCTCAAACTCCAACAGCACGTCAAGTATTAAAAACCATTTGTCTCCATTCACTCCTATCAAACACGCTCACACATGCCCGCTGGAAGTCCAAGCCCCTCGCACACAAAACCTCTTTTACCCCCTCCCTCCAACCTTTCCTAGGCTGACCCCTACCCTGTCTTCCTTCCACTACAGACTGATACACTCTTGAAGTCATTCTGTTTTGCTCCATTCTCTCTACATGTCCGAACCACCTCAACAACCCTTCCTCAGCCCTCTGGACAATAGTTTTGGTAATCCCGCACCTCCTCCTAACTTCCAAACTACGAATTCTCTGCATTATATTCACACCACACATTGCCCTCAGACATGACATCTCCACTGCCTCCAGCCTTCTCCTCGCTGCAACATTTATCACCCATGCTTCACACCCATATAAGAGCATTGGTAAAACTATACTCTCATACATTCCCCTCTTTGCCTCCAAGGACAAAGTTCTTTGTCTCCACAGACTCCTAAGTGCACCGCTCACCCTTTTCCCCTCATCATTTCTATGATTCACCTCATCTTTCATAGACCCATCCACTGACACATCCACTCCCAAATATCTGAATACATTCACCTCCTCCATACTCTCTCCCTCCAATCTGATATCCAATCTTTCATCACCTAATCTTTTTGTTATCCTCATAACCTTACTCTTTCCTGTATTCACTTTTAATTTTCTTCTTTTGCATACCCTACCAAATTCATCCACCAACCTCTGCAACTTATCTTCAGAATCTCCCAAGAGCACAGTGTCATCAGCAAAGAGCAACTGTGACAACTCCCACTTTATGTGTGATTCTTTATCTTTTAATTCCACGCCTCTTGCCAAGACCCTCGCATTTACTTCTCTTACAACCCCATCTATAAATATATTAAACAACCACGGTGACATCACACATCCTTGTCTAAGGCCTACTTTTACTGGGAAATAA